GCTGTCGCACCGGGGTGCGCGGAGGTGCAACCGCGGCCCACAAAGTCAACTCAGTGTCGCCATCCTTGGCCGGGAGGGGAATGAGATCCCGGTCTGGCTCCTTGGCTGCAGCACGAAAGTAGAACACCTTGGAAGCCTTCTTGCGCAATTGCCTGAGCATGGCGATTTCTGTGAAAGAGGCTTTTAGCAGGTCGGTGACCTGCTCGACAGTCCAATCGGCTGGGACCCACGGCACCGACCAGATTTTCGCAATGGGCTCGCCGTCGGCAAGTGGTGCAATTTGGCCGAGTTTGCCTCCACGATGTGCGAGACCCAGGTCCCCAGCCGAACGCCGCATGCGAGCAAGGTATTCACCCGGAGCCTCGCCCTTGGTAGGGTCAACCCAAGTGATTTTGGTGGGAAGCTTCGGTGCTTCTTTATTCTTAGCGCATTCAAGAAAGATGCCATCGATGCCAGAGAGCGCAAGCACTGGCTTCAAGTCACTTTCGCTGACCCTGAGAAGGCCATACAGCTGGAGGTCCTTAGCGAGGCGTTCTTCCTTCCAGCCCCAGGCGTCCAGCACATTAACATGGTGGTCTGCCATCCACTGCATCATGACACGGGAGGGTGTCTTGGCAACAGCAGCCCAAAGCTTTTCGGTGGCAAAGCTTTTCGGGATCCTCGCATGCAGGACCACAGAGGGCTTGCGAACAACGGCAAAAGTGGGCTTGGCACCCTTAGGTGCCGGGACAGCATCTGTCGGATCAGAGCGAAGGAAGCCCGTAGTGGCTTTGCGGAATTGCAGCTGATCCTTCACGAGGCCTGGGACCCGGGCGGTTCCCGCAGGATCGAGGCACACCAGAGTGACGGAATAAGCCTTGGTACATCCAGCTGCCATGGCCTTGATAAGCTGAGCCTGCTCAGAGTTGCACAAAATCACGCCTGTCAGTTTCTCACCCTGTGGGATCGCCTCAAGCTTTTCAGCGAACTTTGTGGGATCAAGGAGGGGCTGATTCCAATCTTGTGCTCTTAAGCAGAATTCGTCATTGGGTTTCGGTCGTGCTCTTGGGCCAACAGTGACCCAGCCAGCCTTTGCATCCTCCGGTGTAATGCCGATGCCTTTACCTCGAGAGGGGTTTGCAGGGGCCTCGGTCGAGGGCTTAGGAGGGTGCAGGGGCTTATCGCCTTCGCCTTGGTGCTTGCCTTTGCCTTTGGCCTTGCCTTTGGGCTCTGGCTGCTCGGCTAGGGGCTGTTGCCCCTTACTTTTACGCTTTCTGCGGGATCTGGGCGGAACACCGTCGCCAGTCCCTGCAGCATTCGGAAGCAAGGGAGCAAAAGGACTGTTTGCCAGTGGCACTGACACTTGACCCCCCAGGAGGGAGCCCAGATTGAGATCAGCAAGGATCTTTTGCACTGCCTCCTGCACTAGTTGCATGATTTGTTGCTTGAGTGCATCAGCGAAACCACCCCCCAAGTCGAAACCCGGACCCGGGTGGCTGGCCTCTCCAATTCGGGCACCAACCTTGTCGTCATGACACCACTCCCGGCTGGGAGCACTCTGAATGCAGTCACCTGTGGGACTGAACCTCGGGCCCGGGTGTCTGGCTTCCCCGATTCTCTCTCCAGTTTTGTCGTCATGGCACTGATCCCGGCTGGGGGTGCAAATCCCAAAAGGAAACCTAAAGTTGCACCAACCTGCGAAGACCTTACCGCAATCAAGAAACGAGGGGCACAGCAGGAGCCAGCCTCGGGACGAAGTTCGGCAGGATGCATCTGAGGATATGCCGGGCTCTTGCGAGCGCTCTTGACCTGCAGTAGCATCGAGAACCAAGGCAGGAGAAAGCAGGGTGTTGCCGGAGTGGGATACATGCAGGGCTGCACCAGTGGTTGTAGCTGACCCTCGGTGGGATATGCTAGGGTCTTTCAACCAAACTTGACCACACCTCGGGCTGGCTTCAACACTTTCGAGAAGGAGATCATTCTGTGGATCCGTGCGGGCAGCAGTGGTCCTAACCCGCCCTTGGCAGGATTTCTCGCCCTCTTTCGAGGAGTCACGACCACACCTCAGGCAAGGCTGGCCGGTTGCGCCACAGCACCAACAGTTGAAAGTCGGATCAAGCAAGGAGGCTGAGGATATCATGCATGTGTTGCGCTCAAAGTTCAGCTGGGGCCAGAAGGGACTACACCCAAAGGGAACCCGGGGAACCGGCGTCACGGGATTAGAATGCAGCTGTTGCTGATGTCCAGCCCTCGCCTGCAGGGTGCCATCGCCACGGTTGCAGAAGCGTTTGCGGGGCTTCACATAAGCACACGGTGCTGGGAGCGGCCGCTTGCAGTCACGGCACCGGGCGCTGATCGAAGCACCTGCCGCGCTTCGGCAGCAGCGTTTTCGAGGCTTAGTGTACGCCCTCAGTGCTGGGAGCTGCCGCTTGCAATGGAACTTCGGCCCTGGGTGGTTGACCTCGCCGGGTCGCGCTTCAATGTTACCATCCGGACCGTTGCCCCGGTTGGGGTCACAAGCCACAAAGGGAAACTCAGAGTTACAGCAACCGAAAGCAGCCTTACCGCGATCAAGGAAAGCGGTGCAACACTGAAGCCAGCCTCGAAGTGAAGACCGGCAGGGCGCTCGTGAGGATGTCACGGGCTCTTGCACACTCGTTCGACCTGCAGCAGCATAGGGAGCCAGAGCAGGAGAAGACTGGGTATTGTCGGATTGGGATTCATGCAAGATGGCACAATCTGCTTCAGCGATCCTTCGGTGGGATATGCTAGGATCTTTCGACCAATCTTGACCGCACCTCAGGCTAGCTTCGGCACTTTCAAGAAAAGAGGCATCATGCAAATCCGTGCGGGCAGCAGAGGTCCTGACCTGTCCTCGGTGGGATTTCTCGCTCTCTTTCGAGGGTTCCCGACCACACCTCGGATAAGGCCGGCCGGTTGCGCCACAGCACCAACATTGGGAAGTCGGATCAAGCAAGGGTGCAGAAGAAGCAACACATGTTGTGCACAAGGGAACCTGCCGCACATGACCACATGAACCCTGTCCTGGATGCCCTGGCATGATTTGCAGAGTGCCTGTCACACCGCAGCAGAAGCGCTTGCGAGGCTTGGTGTAAGCCCGCAATGTTGGCAGCAGTCTCTTGCGATGCAGCTTCGTCGCGGTACCGGGGAACCCAACAGGACTAAACCTTAGGGGGGTCCCAGGGATGCACATGCAGGTGGCACCGGAACTGCCAACATCAAGTCGTCGCCCGCGGCTGTCGTCTTGGGACGGCTGTCCTCTCGCGTCGCCGTCGCCAGTGATCGTGCCCTCCAGGTCCTCGAGAAACGTGTCGGTGGACTTGCCCTTCGGGTGGAAGTGCTCGCTCAACTGGCCGCCAGCAGCCGCCGCCGCGCAAGCGGGAGGAACCTGAAAGCCAACACTGTTGCCATGGCTTCCGCACTGCGAGGCTGAAGGCCCCGGGGGGCCCATGGGCGGGCCGGTGGAGCTAGCGTGTTCACCCTTTTTGTCCTCGAGCGGATCTTGATTGTTTCTTCTCGGTTCTAGGGTCCGGTCCCCGGCATCTGGTCGACATGACACAGACACCTTACCTACCCTACAACACTCTTTGTCCTCACGCGGATCTTTTGTTGTTCTTCTCGGTTCTTGGGTCCGGTTCCCCCTAGACCTAAAAGCAGGGACGTCGATGGTGGAGTCGTAGATGCTGAAAGCAATGCCGTGGCTGCCTTCATCGTGCACCTCTTCCCAGCAAATGTGGCCTTCAAGAGAGGGACCAGCAGCGATACATGCCGTGGCTTGCCGATCGCCGCTCGCAGCAGCACAAAAGCCAGGGCAATCTGTCTCCCCATGTCCACAAGTGAAAGCATCACTGTCGAAATGATTGCCCACAGCAACAAGATCGCTGCCTCCATTTTCCTCGCCACAGCCCGCAGCCGAGAAATCACAAGCACTGATGATCTCACCGCCGCCCACTGCAGCATCACTTGCACTGATTGTTTCGCCGGCCCTGTTGGCAGCATCGCTGCCCCGGGCCACATCACTTCTTTCGCTGTCACAAGCTCTGTTGGCCTCGGTGCTGCAAAAGGCAGCCGTTGGCCGGAGCTCACCTTCCAAAGGCAGGATGCCAAACTCGCCCACAGGAGACCACAGCATGCTTGGTCCAATGCCGATGGCGAGCATCTTTTGCCAAGCCTGCCTCGCACCAAGGAGGTAGGCCTGTCGCTTCTCCACAATGAAATTCACAAGAAGACCCATGGCCCTCGCCACTTTTGCATCTCTAGCGCCCCCTGGCGCCCCGGATGCACCCCAGTTGCTGCTTCCCAAGCAGCATTGTTTCCAAAATTTGTGTCTTGCCTCCAGAGGGGAAGCTTCGCCTTGCTGGCCAGACCAGCTCCATGGTGCTAAGGGCTCGCGAGCCCAAGGCCTGAGGGGTAGACTCAAGCCGTCGTTGTCGTCCTTATGTAGTTGAGCTGTCATAGCTCTAAGTCGCCTTCGCATATCTGAAGAAAAGGTGGCCATGCCACCAGAGGAAGGAGCCATTGCCTGCCCCCTCCCACGCACAGCAGTTTTAGCCGGCTCTACCCAGCCGTTGCCCGTTTTGGAGCGCTTGGAGCTAACTGCAAGCCAAAACGCCTGTTCTCCGCAACCGTTGTGTTTAGGAAGGGCGCTGTGAGCGAAGTTTACAAAACTCAGTTCCCTCATCAGAAATTTTATTGCCCAGAAGATATATTGGGCAAACGGAAATATCGGCGAAGGTATAAATGCACCGACGGTATCCCCAGAGAATATATGGGGCATAAATTCTCATATCTTGCTTTCGCCTCTTGGGACTCCAATCAAATGTATCCTCGCCACTTAATGATGAATATCTAAAGAGATAGCAACTGCCGAAAGGAGCATGCAGGATGTTTTCAAACGGATGGCGGCAGGCTCACGCAGGCATCTAATTCTTGAACAGGTCTTTGACGTGTCGGGAAGGCGCACCTGTGTGCCTGTGCCCCCCCTTCCGCAGGCCGGCACGTCACCAAGGAGACTTCTCTCTCTTTCTCTTGCCTCTGAAGCGTGGCCTGCCACCGACCGTGTCGCGGATGGAATCCACTTCACGGCTGCTCAGCTGTGAACGCCTGGCTTCGTAAAGAGTGCGAAGAAAGGAAAGCGGCAATTCGGAGTACTGCACTGGGACCCGCAACTCCTCAGAGAAACGGTCGAAGATTTCGTTGGTTAAATCATCGGCCTCCTGATTTTCGTCCCGTGGACGCCATCCCAAGTTCAACCGCAAGCCGGCCTTCATGAGAACATGGGTGAGCTGCATGTTAACCATGAGCAAGGGCCAGCGCGTTGTAGAACCCTTGCGAGTCAAGCCCTCGTTAGACTTATTATCCGTCTGAGCTAGAACCTCAACCTTCATCAAACGCCTAGTTGGCCCGGCTTCAAGGTGACCGAAGATGTGCAGTGCAGCCAGCGTGGCCAGCAATTCAGCCGATGCCGAAGCCCACTGACTGTGACCTTCTGAGTCGAAGAGGTAAGGGGCCTCTGAGGGAGTAAGTCGAAGTGAGAACCATCTGGACTCCTGAGTTGTGCCTGCGCAATCCCAACCCCCAAGGACCACGTACCCGTCCGCGCACTTTGCATCAGTGCGGAAGGCCACGCCTTCTCTTTTGACCGATCTTGCTGCGGCGACCTTGAACGTCATGTCCCTGAACGTGAGGTCAAGATATTCAAGTGTAAGGATGACGGTGTCGGGCATCCGAGCGACTGAACTGTCGTTCACCGCTGCCCTCCAGCTGTAAAGCGGTGCAAGGTGTGCCTTAAGCCAAACCAAAAGCCGAGCGACGAAGCCCAGCCTCCCTAAGAACTCAGCAAACCTGCGAACCGAAACAACAAACTTCGAGGACCGAGCCTCAGCGATCCATTTCAAGAGCCACTTGCCCCGCGATTCGGAAATTCCGACCCTCTGGTCTGGATAAGAAAGTTCGTAACCCACAAAAGCCGAAGTGAGCCCACCGCGGAACTTCTTGTATGCGAAAGGTGTGCGAAACATCTCGAAGCATGCTAGCCACATGAGCAAATGATGAAATTTCTCCCTTCCTGCGAAGTTGGCGTGAACATCATCTACGAAGACGAGGTGATAGAACCACAATGTCAAAAGAAAGTGCGCGGTGCAGCGGCCGATGATCCCAAACAATCTGGACCAAAGGAAGGCGGATGATGATATACCGAACGTTCCTACTTTGTTGTACCAAACGACCGGCGTGTCGTTGCGCACCTTACAGCACAACAAAGGCCAGTCGGCCTCTCTGACAAGGAACAACCTGTGAGCCGCCGTCACATCGCCGGTGAGGCAAAAGGTGGCCTCCTGACTTTGCTTTGCGCTGCGCACAAGGTGAACTACCTCCTGGGGTCCGGGATTGGATTGCTGATTAAGTAGCCTAATACCATTGTTGACATGCACACCGTGGGTGCCATCGTGTAATGGCCGAGCGGAACCGTCTGGTTTAATCAAGGAACCTAAAGAAGCTATCCTAACCCTATCCCGCCCGTACTTTTGCTCAAGAACCGGCAACGTGGAAGGCTCCATGCGACCAAGAGCCTCTTCCTCTGCAAACTTCTTCTCAAGCTGATCCGATGTTTCGTTTGCCGACGAATAGTTCTCGCGATGCCACTCGGCATCCGATTCATCGAGCTTGCGGGACTTGTGTTTGTACTCGTACACCTGTGGCAAGTGAGGCGCGGGGCAGTCATAACCGATCGCGACCCCGCTGACATAGGAGTCCTCCTGGCAAGAAACGGCTTTCCAATCTGGGTCCTGCAACAGCCGAGCCGTCGCAGACACAGCATGCAAGAAGAATGGCTGGCCACTCGGCACCACATCAAGATCCGTACACTTGCCTCCCGAAGCAACCTCTATGCAACTAAACCAATCCTTCCTAAGGACCCCTAACATCTCGGGAGTGAAAGGCGATTCCTTAAGGCGGCCTAGCGCAAGCTCCATCGCCGTGCGCTTGATATCAGGCACAACGTCCGCTACAAAGTCTCGAAGCACTTGATGCATGGCAGTGGCGAACTCCAAAGCCTGCTTGGGCAGCAGGCCCCCCCTGGCTTCCGGAGGCCATCTAGTGGGTGAGCAGAGTCCAAAGCCATCCGTGATCGGCTGAGTTTTGCCATCCCACTCGAGGTTCAAAGGCAGCCCGATGTTGTGGCACTCCTGATGCTTGAAGGGCTCCGGTCTTTCGACCTCGCCCCCCTCCAGCACCTCCGAATCATCTGACTGGACCGCCTCAAGATCAGCACTGTGCTCTTCGCCCGGAAGGACGAAACCATGCCCGCGAAGGAACGCGAGATCCTCATCGCATGCCTGAGTATGCTCCGATACACTGAAAGCTATGATGACTAATCTCTTACCTTTCCAGGGCATTGTGAGGTGAAGATCGCGGTAGGCATGTATGTAGGTGGGTGTCTCACTGATCGGAAGAAGGTGACCACTTAAGCGCTTACCGTCAACAATCTGAACAGACTCCCCATCCTGGGCCTCGACCCAGATCTCTCCTCCTACGAAGTCAGTAACCCCTATTATCCCATTGGGCAAAGGTGCGTTCCTGGAGTCTTTGTGGGGCTTGGTGCCAGTGTTAAGGTAAAGGCTAATCCTTTACGTCCCCGGGCATGTTGCTACGCACGAAGGATGCCAAAGCTTCTGTGGAAGCCGGGAAGCCTTTGCACGCGGACCTGAGCCCGATCAGGCCTCCACCCTTCCGGTACAAGCCTGTCGAAAAGCTGCTAGGACCCCAATTAGAGGACACCGCCGACCTAGGCGGAGTCTCATGCGGCAGCAGTTTGAAGAGAGCATGGACCTCGGCCCGAGTCGGGGCTCTCGATGAAGAAATGATGCGTGCGAACTCCTCAGCTTCAACTTGTTTCTTAACCCCCCTAGGTGCTGCCTTCGGCTGCGGTTGCCCCGAAGAGTCTGGCCCCGAAGAGTCTGGCGACGGCAACAAAGTGGAAGGAGGTGCTTCCGACTCGATCAAGCCAACCGCCTCTACCCTATCAGTAACCGCCTCTACCCTATCGGAAACCACCTGGTGCAGCCCCTGCGGCACTTCACATAAATCCTGATGCACCTCCTGCGTCGCCTCGTGGGATTCCTGCATTGGACCTGCCTCACCTGGAACGGAGCTGTGCGGCGCTGACCCAAGTCCCCCCTGCGAAGCGGAAGCAAGCACAGCATGCGCAAGCCATTCACACAACAGAGGAGGATAGGCTGCTGATGACTCGGTCGCCCAGCGGGAGCCTTCCCGGCCTGCAAGTACTTTGTCATGTTTCCCGTGCGGGCAGCGTGGCGGCAACGGCCCCACGTAGCGATCACTGGAGTCGAAGCGTGGCCAGGAAGCAAAAGGCGGAGGCTGCTCGACAAAGGCCCGTAGATTAGTGAGAAGGCGTGTGGGTTTGGAAGTGGGAGCCTCAAAGCTGCATTGAAAGAAAGCAAAAGTGATGGCCTGAGTGGAAACCTGGAGCTCACGCAGAGCTGGTAGCTGCCAGATGGAAGCCGGTAACTCGTGATCCGGCGTTGCGCCGAGATCTTCCGGGTGCTCCAGAACATACTGCCATGCAAGTTGACATGCCGTCACGGTCTGATCAAGAAAATAATTAGCCTGCTCCACCTGCTGCGCGTGCAAATTGCTTAACCATGGAAAACCTCTAGGATAAAATGCTGAACGTAGTGGCTTTGGCCCGGGGTGGCGATGCCGGACTCTGGAAAATGTCTCACAAGGAGGAGAGGCAATGAGGATCCAATCCCCTTCGCCAAGCAATTGAAAGATGTGCTGCCACAAGCCTTCCTTAGTCAAGTCATGCTCCGTGGAGCGCTGAAGATCGAACTGAAGAAGATTAGTGACATTGCCCAGTGACTGAAGGTAAGAGCCCACATCACCTTTGCGATGGGGCCCCGCGAAAATGTAGAGCACACGAAGCCCGCTCGGACTGTACAGCTGAGGCTGGTAGGCGATGTGGTCTGATGTTTCAATGGTAGAAACCGAATCATGCGATAGTCACTCCTTGGGCTTGCTGGTCTTAAGCTTATGCTCGGTCGCTGAGTGGGGCTGATAACAGCCCTTGACCCGGCACACATGCAAGCGTTCGCATGAAGGATTGGTGCAGCCCTGCGAGTTGAATGCAAAGCAAATGTCGCGGCCCTCCGGCGTGCGCCAAACCAACTGAAGGCCCTTAAGCGCCGGGTCCGAGGGGCTTTTGCCGTTCTTGCCCCCCTTGGAGTCTTTGCCCTTGCCGCCCTTGCCTGTCTTGCCTCCGTCCTTGCCATCCTTGCCCTTGCCCTTGCCTTTGTGCCACTTGCGTGGTCGCTCAATGATGGACAAGGCGAGCGGCGTCGTGAAGTAGGTCTCCTTAAGCTCCGCTGAAGAAATGACTGAAGCCAGAGCGCCTGCCAGAGTATAACCCTGATCATTGACCAGACGGAAAGCCTCCTTGCGCAACCGGTGCTCATAGGCCAAGACTACTTCCCAAGGTGGCGAAAGTGAAGGCACATCGGCTGGCTGATGAGACGTAGGCACTGAGAGCTGAGCGACCTTTTCGCCAAGGATGTAGTTCACGAAGTGGTCGAAGTCAGACAGCTTAAGATCCTGAAGCCATTGCTTGGATTTAAAGCGGGATGCCATGCATAGCCACGTGAAAGCTTCCACGCGAAGGACCTTGCGATAAGCTTCTGTAGTAGTCGGGAGCTCGCTCTTGGATTTGTGCTGAGTAATATGAATTCGCCCCGAAGCGTCAAGGCTGGACTGGATGCTCGTGGTGAGCGTGTTCTTCTTCGAAGTTATGGCATCCAAGGTTGAAGCCTGAGGCTCATTGGCTTCGCACTCCTCGCACTTGAGAGCGAGGTACTCAGACGATGGAGTCTCCGACTCTCCCAGCTGCCCGTGAACGGCCGCTACCGCTTTGAGCATTGCTTGCCTCTCTGTGACTTGCAAGATTCGCGGCTGGCCTAACACTTTCGCCTCTGCTCGTGTTTCCGTCTCTTTGCTGATTACGTCGCGTGCAAGTTCCCATGCAGCGACGACCCCCGCGATTTGTTGTCGCCCATCAGCAGCCCCATCATCAAGACCAAAGTCCGCCTTCCCAGCAGCCCGCGCTTCCGGCCGGGAATCGGCGATTGCCTGGAATCGCCTAAGTGTTGTGTGTCGTTGCACAATGCGATACTGGGCATCCAGAGACAAGCCAGCTTCTCCGAGCACAAACTGCAAATCGCTATCTGCTTTGGTTATGAGCTCGCGCTTCTCGGCATCTGTGGCGGCCATTGCGACAACAGTAACTAACTCCCGCTACTCCTGATGCGAAGGCCGCGCCCCGGCCTGTGGCCCTGTAGGACTTGGATTGCTAGCCGCCCTGAGGCCTTTAGCTGCACTGCGATGTGTCCACCCGTCGCCCTGAGGCCTGTGACAGGATGCGGAATCCGCCGGCACCTCACGGCCTGCGCCGAGTGAGACTTCCTCCTGCTTGAACAGCGCCAGCACGTGCACTTCATCAGCATGAACTGTTATCGCGAAACAACTTCAAGATGCCCTGAGAAAAGTCAGCATGGACTGTTATCGTGGATCTACTTCAAGGCGCCCTTGCATAAGCAACTCATGCCAACTTCTGGCTAGGACTTGCAGGGCACAGCCTATCCACAGCAGTCGAAAGCATCTTTTGCCTTCACATCGACTCGCTCCCACTGTCACTGCTGGAGGGGTCTGACTCCTCCTCTCCGGCCTGAGCCTTCATTCTTGCTTTGCAATCTTTGCAAATGTTATCGACGTCCTCCGCGCCGACATGACTGACAAATTTCACATCATAACAATTCTCAGGCTTGACATAGCAGCCCAACATGTGCAGACGCCTCAGGCCTGTGGTGCGAGAGGTAACGATGAAGTAATCCCCCCGGCTGCCTGGCATCGAAACCTGCTCGACTGGAGAAGGTGGTGCCGCAACACCCACTTCCAATGCCAGAGTTGGCCACGACCCGCCCAAGCCTTTGGATCCCTCGAGGAGGGTGTGACGGCGACGAACCTGAGATTCGCTCTCCCCCGCCTTAGCTGCATAATCCGTCAAAGCCTTGATGGAATCCACCTCGATGTAGTGCTTTGGCTGTCCGGTGACAAGGGAACAAGCAATGTGACTCTGGAGACGATGCACAACCTGCCTAGAAGTGCGAATGTAGGTTGCAGAACCTTCGCCACCTACCTTCCAGCGACCCAGATAATCAAGCTCCCTGGGGTCGACATCGATGGCCGCTCCGACCGAGCTAAGGAAGTTCCTCGCAGAATGTCCCGTAAAATGACTGGAAGTGTATCCCGGGAGCAGCGGACGCTGATCATTGGCCTTCCATGTGCGCCCCTCACGCTTGGGCGTTTTCAACTCACTGAGAACTTTGCGGAAGTAAAGGGCCACCGTGGAGGAAGGCACCGACTTCTCCAGGGGTTCCGTGAAACCTTCATTGGCCTTCAAAACCAGATAATCCCTCTCAAAATCGAAATCCTTCCAAAGTGCATATCCGACCTTCAGCCAATCATGCCCTGTCAGAGAGATACTCCGTTCCACGAAGACCTTGACGGTGTGGGTCCTTTTGTCGGGCCCTGTAGTCTTGGACCGCGCGAGATCAATGCTAAGCCCTCGCTCGTCCAGAAGCATGGTCTGCGGCAAGAGCCCCTGAACATCATCAGCCCGAAGCGATCCCCAAACCATCAATAAGCAGACAAAGCCCAATGCTCTCAAGTAACTAGGCTCCCCGGGCGTGCAAACGAAGATCTCACATGCAAGAACGATAGCAACAGTGAGCATGCTGGCTGGCTGCTCCGGCGGTGCCGCCGAAACCAAATCGGCCGTGTAACTTTTGAGCTGCGCCTGCCATGTGGGATCCTGAGATATCTGCTGCGTAGACGGCACGCGCCCTACACCTTCAATTACACTGAGAGAGGCTTGCAGGCTTTCGAGAACTGTCTTTCCACATCCTTCCTGGAATCGTTCATTGGCATAATCTAGCACATCAGCTACCCCTTCCGGATAGCTCCTGCCACGGCTATAAAGCAACCATTCCCGAAACTTGTCCCAAGCTCTAAAGCGATTTCTCAATGTCTTGGATCGACGGGTCCCGAACAGCCGTGGCCAGGCTTCCTCGGCATTGCTGACCCCTGCAAGCACCTTGCACACCGGCAGTTGCGCCTCCTGCATGCTGGCTGCAAGACGCAATGCATACTCCTGCCGAAGCCGTATCTCCTCAGTGGCCCTGGCACCGCGATCTACGACCCTATCAGTAGCTAACTTCCGCTTGCGAAGAACCGGAAGCAACGCAAGTGGACTCTGAAGTGCAATCTGATTGTAATGCTCATGCAAGCTAAGGCCAGTTCCCGGGACACTGGGCAAGCACTCTGTCAAGCGCCTCCTTGATTCCCTGCGCCCACTCGCAACTGTGCGAGCATTGTCTGCATGCCATTCAAGAAGTGCATCAGCAATCAACTGCAGGCTACTTTCAAGAAGCATGTTATCGCAAGCCCTAAGCAATGATACAAGCTCTTCCCTCGTGTCGAATGAGGCATGCAATTTCTCAGGCGTTCTAAACCACTCTTCAAGGCGGTTGCGGTATGGTGGCACTAAAGCGGGCCATCCGAGTCCTGTGCCACTCATGGCCGACCATGGGCCGCAGGGCCACCCTTCTACCGCTTTCGTAGTCCTAAAGTATGGAGCTACCGTGAAGCTAAACTGTCCAGTCATGCGTCACAACGATGCTTGTGAATGCTAGCCCCATACAATCAAAATTTTCCCTGCTCCTGAGCCTGAGCTCTGCGTCCATGATAAGCATTGAGATTGTGCGCACACTCAGCTTCTGGCTCCATTCTGAAAAGCGCACGATACGTAAATAAAATAGAAACTCAAAACTGCTCAATAAAACTTTTCTCTTTGAAACTGCGGAGATCTTCGAGTTGGTCCAGTCGAGGGAACTCCTCCTACCCACAGAGACACCCCGCCCCGCCCACCCAAAACGTTTACTCTAAACAGCGCCGCCGGGCAAGCCCGGCAGGGCAGGGCTCGGCCTTTTCCCTTCGCCCATGGAGCCGTACCAGTGCAAAGAAGCGGAAGGCACAGGACACGTGTGCAGCCGCTGCTCTGGCCGTACCAGTGCAAAGAAGCGGAAGGCACAGGACACGTGTGCAGCCGCTGCTCTGGCCGTGGCGGGAGCTTTGCCAGTTTTAAGGCCAGGTGCTCCTCGTCGGGGCATCTTTAAGGCCAGGTGCTCCTCGTCGGGGCATCTTAGGCGGGCCCTATGGTGGACCGGATCCAGTTCTCGTGAACTTGTTCCGGCATTTTGCGACCGTTTGCAAGTTTTAAAGCCAGGTGCGCCTCGTTGGGGCATCTTGGGAATCTTGGGCAGGCCCTATGGTGGACCGGATCCAGTTCTCGTGATCTTGTTCTGGCATTTTGCCGGAGGGCTCGGCCCTTTCCCTTCGCCCATGGAGCCGTACCAGTGCAAAGAAGCGGAAGGCACAGGACACGTGTGCAGCCGCTGCTCTGGCCGTGGCGGGATCTCTGCAAGTTTTAAGGCCAGGTGCTCCTCGTTGGGGCATCTTGGGCATCTTGGGCGGGCCGTGGCGGGAGCTCTGCAAGTTTTAAGGCCAGGTGCTCCTCGTTGGGGCATTTTGGGCATCTTGGGGATCCAGTTCTCGTGAACTTGTTCCGGCATTTTGCCGGAGGGCTCGGCCTTTTCCCTTATCCCATGGAGCCGTACCAGTGCAAAGAAGCGGAAGGCAGGACACGTGTGCAGCCGCTGCTCTGGCCGTTTGCAAGTTTTAAGGCCAGGTGCTCCTCGTCGGGGCATCTTAGTCGGGCCCTATGGTGGACCGGATCCAGTTCTCGTGAACTTGTTCCGGCATATTGTTGGACGGCTCGGCCCTTTCCCTTCGCCCGTGGAGCCGTACCAGTGCAAAGAAGCGGAAGGCACAGGACACGTGTGCAGCCGCTGCTCTGGCCGTTTGCAAGTTTTAAAGCCAGTTGTTCCTCGTTGGGGCATCTGGGGCGGGCCCTCTGGTGGACCGGATCCAGTTCTCGTGATCTTGTTCTGGCATTTTGCCGGAGGGCTCGGCCCTTTCCCTAGCCCATGGAGCCGTATCAGTGCAAAGAAGCGGAAGGCACAGGACATGTGCAGCCGCTGGTTCAGACCGATGGATTCCGGGGTAATAATCCTACAAGACCCGGAGCCCATGGCCTTCTCAACGATCGTCTTGCAAGGTTCGGAGCCCATGGCTTTCTGAGTGATGGTCCCACACGATTCGGAGCCCTGCCCTTCTGAATGCTGATCTCACAAGGTTCCGAGTAGCCTTTGGGATAGTAATCCCGCAAAGTCGGAGCCCATGGTCTACTGAATCCTCCGGCTTTTGAATGAGATACCACAAGGTTCGGGGCCCATGGCTTTCTGGATGATAATCTCACGAGGTTCGGAGCCGATGGATTCCGGGGTAATAATCCTACAAGACCCGGAGCCCATGGCCTTCTCAACGATCGTTTTGCAAGGTTCGGAGCCCATGGCTTTCTGAGTCATGGTCCCACAAGATTCGGAGCCCTGCCCTTCTGAATGCTGATCCCCCAAGGTTCGAAGTGGCCTTTGGAATAGTAATCCCACAAGGTCGGAGCCCATGGTCTACTGAATCCTCCGGCTTTTGAATGAGATATCAGAAGGTTTCGGGGCCCATGGCTTTCTGGATGATAATCTCACGAGGTTCGGAGCCGATGGATTCCGGGGTAATAATCCTACAAGACCCGGAGCCCATGGCCTTCTCAACGATCGTTTTGCAAGGTTCGGAGCCCATGGCTTTCTGAGTGATGGTCCCACAAGATTCGGAGCCCTGCCCTTCTGAATGCTGATCCCACAAGGTTCGGAGTGGCCTTTGGAATAGTAATCCCACAAGGTCGGAGCCCGTGGTCTACTGAATCCTCCGGCTTTTGAATGAGATATCAGAAGGTTTCGGGGCCCATGGCTTTCTGGATGATAATCTCACGAGGCTCGGAGCCGATGGATTCCGGGTTAATAATCCTACAAGACCCGGAGCCCATGGCCTTCTCAACGATCGTTTTGCAAGGTTCGGAGCCCGTGGCTTTCTGAGTCATGGTCCCACAAGATTCGGTTCGGAGCCGATGGATTCCGGGGTAACAATCCTACAAGACCCGGAGCCCATGGCCTTCTCAACGATCGTTTTGCAAGGTTCGAAGCCCATGGCTTTCTGAGTCATGGTCCCACAAGATTCGGAGCCCTGCCCTTCTGAATGCTGATCCCACAAGGTTCGAAGTGGCCTTTGGAATAGTAATCCCACAAGGTCGGAGGCCATGGTCTACTGAATCCTCCGGCTTTTGAATGAGATATCAGAAGGTTTCGGGGCCCATGGCTTTCTGGATGATAATCTCACGAGGTTCGGAGCCGATGGATTCCGGGGTAATAATCCTACAAGACCCGGAGCCCATGGCCTTCTCAACGATCGTTTTGCAAGGTTCGGAGACCATGGCTTTCTGAGTGATGGTCCCACAAGATTCGGAGCCCTGCCCTTCTGAATGCTGATCCCACAAGGTTCGGAGTGGCCTTTGGAATAGTAATCCCACAAGGTCGGAGACCATGGTCTACTGAATCCTCAGGCTTTTGAATGAGATATCAGAAGGTTCGGGGCCCATGGCTTTCTGGATGATAATCTCACGAGGCTCGGAGCCGATGGATTCCGGGGTAATAATCCTACAAGACCCGGAGCCCATGGCCTTCTCAACGATCGTTTTGCAAGGTTCGGAGCCCGTGGCTTTCTGAGTCATGGTCCAACAAGATTCGGTTCGGAGCCGATGGATTCCGGGGTAACAATCCTACAAGACCCGGAGCCCATGGCCTTCTCAACGATCGTTTTGAAAGGTTCGGAGCCAATGGCTTTCGAGTCATGGGAGCCCATGGCTTTCTGAGTCATGGTCCCACAAGATTCGGAGCCCTGCCCTTCTGAATGCTGATCCCACAAGGTTCGGAGTGGCCTTTGGAATAGTAATCCCACAAGGTCGGAGCCCATGGTCTACTGAATCCTCCGGCTTTTGAATGAGATATCACAAGGTGCGGGACCCACTGGATGATAATCTCACGAGGTTCGGAGCCGATGTATTCCGGGGTAATAATCCTACAAGATCCGGAGCTCATGGCCTTCTGGATGATAACGCCACAAGGTTCGGAGCCAATGGCTTTCTGAGTCATGGTCCCACAAGATTCGGAGCCCTGCCCTTCTGAATGATGATCCGGTCGGAGCCCATGATCTACTGAATGATGTTCCCAGAAGGTTCGGGGCCCGCGGCTTTCTGGATGATAATCTAATGAGGTTCGGAGCCGATGGATTTCGGGGTAATAATCCTAGAAGGTCCGGAGCTCATGGCCTAATGGACGATAATACCACAAGGTTCGGAGCCCATGTCCTTCTGATGTCGGCTTCAACCAGGCCGGGCCGGTTAAATGCTTTAATCGGCCGGGTCGGTTAAATTTAACCGATTTGGGCTTTAATCGGCCGGGCCGGTTAAATTTAATCGATGTCGGCTTTAGTTCGCCGGGCCGGTTAAATTTAACCGACTTGGGCTTTAACCGGCCGGGCCGGTTAAATTTAACAGATTTGCCGGGCCGGTTAAATTTAATCGATTTCGGCTTTAGGTGGCCGGGCCGGTTAAATTTAACCGGTTTCGGCTTTAATCGGCCGGTCCGGTTAAATTTAACCGACTTGGGCTTTAATCGGCAGGGCCGGTTAAATTTAACCGATTTGGGCTTTAGTCGGCCGGGCCGGTTAAATTTATTCGATGTCGGCTTTAATCGGCCGGGCCGGTTAAATTTAATCGATGTCGGCTTTAATCGGCCGGGCCGGTTAAATTTAATCGATTTCGGCTTTAACCGGCCGGGCCGGTTAAATTTAACAGATTTGGGCTTTGATCGGCAGGGTCGGTTAAATTTAAACGATTTGGGCTTTAGTCGGCCGGGCCGGTTAAATTTAACCGATTTCGGCTTTAGTTGGCCGGGCCGGTTAAATTTAATCGATTTCGGCTTTAACCGGCCGGTCGGTTAACTTTAACCGATTTGGGCTTTAATCGGCCGGGCCGGTTAAATTTAATCGATTCCGGCTTTAATCGGCCGGACCGGTTAAATTTAATCGATTTCGGCTTTAATCGGCCGGGCCGGTTGAATTTAACCGATTTCGGCTTCAACGGCCGGGTCGGTTAAATTTAACCGATTTGGGCTTTAATCGGCCGGGCCGGTTAAATTTAATCGATGTCGGCTTTAAACGGCCGGGCCGGTTAAATTTAACAGATTTGGTCTTTAATCGGCCGGGCCGGTTAAATTTAACCGATTTGGGCTTTAGTCGGCCGGGCCGGTTAAATTTAATCGATTTGGGCTTTAATCGGCCGGGTCGGTTAAATTTAACAGATTTGGGCTTAAATCGGCCGGGCCGGTTAAATTTAATCGATTTCGGCTTTAATCGGCCGGGCCG